TCTACTCATTTTGACATAATAGCAGTGAAGGGATGTTCCTTTGTCTACCTGAGGAACTGTATATTTTGTCCGCTTTCTTTGTCAGTCATGTTCATAGTGAAAGATATACAAGGAAGAACATTTGTTTATAAATTATAGATGTTATTTAACAAGCAAATATCAAAGGTCACTACGCCTGAAGTAAAATAAAATAACAGGAAATATCATTTCCGGATCAGTAACTTTACTTCCCTGTTCATAAATAGGAACAGATTAACTTCCCAGGAAAATTGAGAAGCGAAAGAGGATTTTACACAGACTTAAAATTCTTCCGGCTCAAGAAAAACGTACATTATCATCAGGGAAAGTCCAATTTTCAGTTATATAATTTTACTTTTTTATTAAAAAATGCAGAGAAATGAGAGAATTGATAAGTGAAAGTTTCAGAAATATCTGAAGAATTACAGTTTACAGTGGAACCTCATTATAAAGAGCTATGATAAAACAAAGTATTATTGTTATTATTATTAGAGTTTTATTTCAACAGGGTGGTCTCATTTCAAGTCTATTTCTGGACCTGCTCTTCCAGAGAGCCCTGCATTCACATACAACTATGTACAATCAAAACATGAATTCAAAACATACATACAAATGTAAAAATAAACATTAGCAGAGCTGCCAACCTTGTGCGACCAAAAAAAGGAATCATGATGGCAAAAAAAAGGAATTTCAAGCAAAAAAAAAGGAATACATAAAAACGAAACTTACAACCACGCGGACACACTTCCAATGTAGAAATGTTCATTCATCATGCTGTTTTTTCCATACAAGCAAGTAATTTTTTTGGTGGTTATTTTGGTATTATCGGCATTTCATTTTTTTTAGAGAATATTTTTCTCTTCAAGTATGTTTTAAAATTAGTTTTTTATTGAATTAGTGATCAAATCACCATTTTAGGGCAGTTGTTGGACGCGCGGTATGTAAAAAAAAAAAAAAAAAAAAAAAAATTATTAATTTTTTTTTTAAAATTAAAAAACGTATTTTATGAAGAAAAAATGTAATACCGTAATTTGGAGGGAAAAACGGAGTAATTCCGGCAAAAACGGAATGGTTGGCAGCTCTGCATAAGTATCCAGTGGCGGATCCAGGGGGGGGGGCCGGGGGGCCCGGCCACCCCCCCCCCCCCCCTTGAGAAAAAAATCATGTAAAATCACGTGATTTTTACCTTTTTTGGGGGTTGGGCCCCCCCCCCTGGCGCTCAAGGGGGGGGGGTGCAAATTGAAATTTATTTGAGGATCAAAAAAAAAAATGTGCTCACTACCCAACCCCCCCCCACTGAGCGAATTTTCGGCCGGCGCGTTTTTCAAATTTTCGGGAGCAAAAAAAAAAAAAAATTGTGCTCTGTACCTAATCACTAACAGGAAGTCTCTTATTTATCAGGAATTACTTGGATTGATATATTTATAAACATCTGCCCTGGGAGCGACTATCAGCATTAATCTTGAGATCTGCAATATGAAACTGCAAATAAAGAGAGGCAATAGTATCATTCAGAACTTAAAGCCCCACTGCACGACTTATAGCTACTTGCTCCCTCTATTTGCAAACAATGCCTAATCGATGCCTGTTGGTCCCCCATGATCCTCTTTTTCTGATGTTAATTGAGAGCTGAATTGATGAGATAACAACCAGTCAGTGACCTTGCAGGGAGGTCTTATCCTCCCTGGCCAAACTCGTACAGACAGGCTTTAAAGGCAGGCTGTTCTACTGACACTTCTTCAGATTTACATTTACTGCCACCTGCTGCTCACAATGCCCCGATGTGTCGACAGTCATGTCCCATAATGCATCACCAACTGCACGACGTGCGCACGTGATGATGCTTGGGTACAGGAACCGGAAATCGCTCTACATATGTATGTACCAGTACACCTTCACCGAGAGATTGTGCATTAAAGCAGTGGTAGCGATGTCGGTAAAGTACCCTACCTTTAAATGCCTCTAATATTGACCTCAGTATACTTTGTGCTGTAACATTATATAAAATTCATGTACATGTACATTATAAATAAAATGGGGCCTTATTAAGATTTTTTTATTCCAAAAGTAGAAATTTAGACACAGAGGCAAAAATATGACAACATATGAACTGTTCTACCGATTGGACCTATAGAGGAAAAACATAAATCGCAGACAAATTCACAGATATGGCTGAAAAATGTGACAATTTTAAAAGGCAACAAAATATGCCATGCATACATTACCTTAGAGTACAGAAATTAATGAACTATTCCATCTCTTAAAATTGATATTTTCAATGGAACTAACTATATTGTCAACCAGGTCAACAGCAAATATCTTGAGGACCAAGACCCCTTAGGGTCTGTAAAGGCACAGAAGTCAGAATGCAACGATACCCGCATGCCGGTAACCAAGGAAACGTTTGTCCCGTCAGATAGCAACACAGAGCCCACCCCCATAAAACAGACATAACTGCCAGTAGATGGGCCTTTTTTTCTTCAAATTTGAATTTTGCTCGTGACAGTGTTTCATCCATCCCATTTGTTGTGTACAAAATGAGGGCTTCAATTTTCACTCACGAAAAAGAGAGAAAACCACAGACCAATTCTTTTGATCTGAAATTTGGCACATACTTTAAAGAGAGTCAACACTACTGGGCCAGAAATGATTAGACCACACAGCGAGGTCACTGACAGGTGGCTTTCTCATTAACTCAGCTCTCAACTAACATAAGAAAAAGAGGATCATGGGGGACCAACAGGCACCGATTGGGGAAGTTTTCTATATAGAGGGAGCAAGTAGTTACAAGTAGGACAGTGGGGCTTTAATAACCTCATCTTGTCATTTCAAATAAATTTTGAGAGAAGTTTTTGAGGGCTTGCGAATCCCTGATAGGGGCTTTAAAGAGAAAATTGAGTTCTGAGAAGAGGTGAAAAATTAGTGAACGTTATCATTGTACTATGCAAGTGTGGAAGAACATCAGATAAAAATTGTTCCCTGAAAAGCATGGCTCTTTATGCCTTAATATTCTAAATATGGCATGTAGCATCATAAATCAAGACAGATTTTTATGCCACATCTTTGTGTAGTCCCCTATACATCTTTCTGTGTATAGTGCTTGTAACTTTACCATGACTGGGCCAAATCTTATCATTTTGATGATTCTAGAACCTTGCAGTACACACCTGTACTTATATGCTAGATGATCAACCTTTTCTGATAGATTCCACAACGTTTCTTTCACAACGCAATTGCATGACCAGAACTCAACTTTATCTTTAAGGTAGCCTTTAACCATGTTAACGACCACTCAGTCAACGAAACAGTCATTGAAGGCTTGACCTTTGAAAAACACTATGAGTCAAAATAAACATTGAGAATTTAGAATACATGCAGAACTCTACTTCCTCATACCATCTTTAGCTTCTTACCTGCTGCCTTTAAGTTCCACAAAGCAGACAACTTTAACTATCCAAATGTTTATGATTACTTCTACTTGTATTTGTAAATCACTTTCATTTCAATTTCTATATAAACATTCATTTGTAAAATTCATATCAGTGAAAAAGAAATTTCTAAATGGACAAGAAATACTTAATATCACTATTATTCCTTCAAACTTTACTTATGATTTGGGTAATGTTTTACCGGTAGCCTAATACGAACCATGCTAACAAAAATTAAGAAATACAACAAATTTTCTTTAAATTTAAAGATAAAGTTGAGTTCTGGTCGTGCGATTGCATTGTGAAAGAACTGTCTGATCGATCAGAAAAGGTTGATCATCTAGCATATAATTATTGGTGTGTATTGCAAGGTTCTGGAATCATCAAAATGATGAGAAATTTGGCCAAGTCTTGGTAAAGTTGCATGGACTGTACACAGAAGGATGTATATGGGACTACACGAACACGTGGCGTAAAAATCTGTCCCGATTTTTGCGATGTTACATGCCATATCTAAAATATGAAGGCATTTGAAGAGCCATGCTTTTCAGGGAACATGTTTTATCAGATATTCTTCCACCCTTGCATAATAACAATGATAATGCTCACAAATTATTTTTCACCTCTTCCCAGAACTCAACCTTCTCTTTAAATAAACTAAATGATGCAACAGGATGAATTTTTTCCAAAATATTTTCAACAATAAGTTTATTTAAGATCACAATGCTCGATTCAATCAGCTTCATTTTCATTTAAAAATACAAATGATTAAAGGTAAAGACCAGTTTTAGAAACGCCCCCTCTCAAAAAAATGAAATGGAAGCTCTTATTATCAATCATGTGAAAGAATATGTTTTGACTAATACGGGATCATACAAATTTTGCTCAGTGAGAAACCGCCTACTAATTGATATATTTGGTAAATGATTATATCTATTTGGACCTGATAGATATGACGCACGTGTCACGCACAACGTTTCTTTCACAATGCAATCGCATGACCATAACTGGTCTGTATCTTTAAGTCTAATCTCCATTTGCTTGTCCGGTATTTGTAAATAAGTTCACATTTTGCTTGGCCAAAAGTTCATTATGATACATAACAGATTACATATTTAATGACAAATAAATTCATATTGAATTTTAGATTGTGTGTCTTGAGATGCAGTGTTCTATTACCAGAGCTCAGAATGACTAAAATAATAATATTAAACGAATATTGCTTTGAAAATTAAAACACCTACATTTCTAATCTCACTTCTCGTTCTCTAATTGAAAAAGACTCGATTTAATCTGGTACTCTTTATCTCTTTCTCCTTATTAAGTCTGAACTACCCCCCCCCCCCCCCCCCGATTTCTTCTCTCCCCTCTAAAAATGTGCAAGGTGTAATACTTTTTTTATATATCTATTTTTTTTTCTTATCCTACACACCACTGCTTCTTCTTCTCTTACTCTCTCTCCCTCTCTGTCTCTCTCTCTCTCACACTCTCTCTCACACATTCTCTCTCTCTCTCTCTCTCACATACATTCTGTCTCTTTCTCTCTCTCTCTCTCTCTCTCTCTCTCTCTGTACATTAATATAATACACGTCTTGTAATTTCCGATCGATGCTATGATGTGTCCTCCACCTCGTGCTCTTCGAGAGGGTGCTCGGCGTTGCTCTTGAGGCGGGGCGTCTTCCACTTGGCGGAGGGGCTGCTGAATCCCATCTTGCCCTTGTTGAAGGAGTTGGGTCCTGCCGACGTGGGCGTGTCCCTGAGATTGAAACAGAAGGATATGAAACCTTTTTAAGTAGTCAGACGAAGAAAATTCACGACAACTGATAATTATGGATAAATTATATATAGATGGAAAGATTTTCTCCTGAAAAACATGAATAACTTGCTGAAAAATCATATAGACATCATGGAAAGGCGTAAATGTAATTTTGTGGCTAGCTGTGTCTCGCATGTGACGTCACGAATCTTGACGCTCTACGGAGGACCGCTGAAGGCAGAAAATCTGCATCTCAAAATTAATATTCTTAGAGTAGATTACTGCGGGCCCTCAAACATATTTTGAAGAGGGAAGTTGTTATATTTGATAAGTAAGGCTTCCCCTTCACAATGATTTGAATATCAATTCAAAACACTTTTGATTCTTTGGGTGATTAGATGTTCAATGAAACCTGCAGCACAACCTGTGTAATACTGTATTAGGACCACATTGTGATGTTTCCCTTGAACAGCGCTTATCAGAGAAACCTACTCTGAACTCTTTATATGCCACACAAATAATCTTTCTGTACCACATTATGTTTATCATGAGATAGATATACCAAAGGCTTCAAGTTTAGTTAACTGTTCCCCTGTTTTCTCTGGCATCTTTGTCTCTGACCTGTCCGATCGTTTTCCAATATTTTCTGTTATACCAAGCCTTACCCAATCATCTTCAATCAACTATCAGACAACAGAACCAATTTAGAGTGTTATCAGAGGAAAACCTTAATAGACTCAGAGAAAGTCTATCTGTGAAATTTAAACATTAGCAGTGTCCAACTATTCAAATCATGCAAGGAAACCCGTTTACTTTCTAGACTTCACTGTTGGACTCTATTGAGTGACTGGCTGACTTCTTTTTTTCTTTGGTAATTACATACATGAAATGAGATGTAAAGGGTACATGAGCATTTGTCTACATCTATAACCCACTTCTTGTAATGGCCAAAATTAAAACGATTGAATCTTTGCGTAGCACAAAACGTTGACCATACAGTACAAGGGTCTGAAAATCAGACTATTTTCTACACATAATTTTCTAAACGCCTTGCAAAAATTCCGAACTGTCGATATAATTCCACATAAAGGCAATTACCAGTTTTAATCTTCTCAAGGGAGATTCTAGTTGGTATTATCTCTTGTTTACTATAGGATTCACAAAAGTTTATATTTTCAGCCTGCAAAAGGGACAAACTACCTTTCAAGTCTAGTTTGCAATCTTATCAGCATTGAACCAGGATGTATACCGTACCACACAAACCTATAAATCATTATGCACACTGATTGTTCTTTTGTTGCTTCTATTCCCATTGTCTAGCTCCTATTGAAGTCCTAAAAACATTCTTTCTTTTGCCCTTGTCACTCTAATCCTTTCAGAGCAGGTACTGATCTTCATAATGTAATCAAATTTAATGCACAAACCTTTGTTAAGTGCCTCAATTGTTACAAATGATTTCATTTGCCTGTTATGAATAGTTGTATTTCAAAAGTCAGAATGCGAATTGCATACACTACGTATTGTTTGGTAGGATAACCCATTTTGTTTGGCCTACCTAGTAACAATTAATGTTTGCAATTCGCGTATTCAGAGTATTGAAATACAATTATTCATAACAGGTGAATGAATTAGTTTGAAATGAGGCACTTTACAAAGATTTGTGCATTAAATGTTGATTACATTATGAAAATGGCCTATTCAAAGTGTCCATATTATTGTATCATCCAAAACTCTTTTGACCGAGAAAGTTTGTCTATCTTGTGAAATTATTAAGAAGTTGAAGAGTTGTAAACTTGAATATATCACTAAACAATGATGATATAAAATAAAATAAAAAACAGAGGCTTTCGTCATCCTACCAGGTCCCCATTTCTCTCCTGGATATGGAGTGGCAAATCTAGATTAATGCCTTGCCAAAAAACATGAGTGCTGTGTCTGGGATCTTACCCACGACCTTTGCACTACAAGTCAAGTGCTTAAACCACTCGACCAGGGCCCCATTTCACAAAACTTGTCATCAGTGACAAATGACATTTTGGGGGGATAAGGTAGTGAAATCCTTGCTTCTGATTGGTTATCAGCAGATTTGTTACTGATATTTGTCATTTGTCATTGAAAAAAGGCTTTGTGAAATGGGTCCCAGGCCACCTCTAGATGAAAGATGTCCATGGATACATACCGGCCCATGTTCTTCATCCTCATCTTAGCTTCAGGAGGCATGTCCTCCTCATCTTCCTAAAATAGAAAAAAACAAAAACATGATTAAAATAAAAACAGCATGTAAACAATACAATGATTTCACCCCTTAGGCAAACACTAAACCTAAAACATGTAATACCAAATCTAATCATAACCCGAACCCTATATATTTCACAAAATGAAGCCTGGGGCAATTGATGAAAGTGATACAGGCAAGAGGAAGCCTAAAGGACATCCTAGAAAAATGACAGCCCATAAGACCGAAGACCCACAAGACCGGCAACGTTAATCTCAAAGTTGCCAGCAGTGTTAGTCTTGTGGGTTGTTGGTCTCACAGGCTGTCGGTCTCATGGTCTGACTGATAATAATAATAGGGAGATATATAGCGCTTAATACGGAATACCGTCTCTTAAGCTCTTAAAACAAATATTATTACCCCGGTCATCGGATTCATTCACGCACAATGTGCACCATCTCCCTAGTGAGTATTCCTACCATATGGTCACAAATGCTTTCGTCATCCTACCGGGTCCCCATTTCTCTCTTGGGTAATGAGTAGCAAATGTAGATTAATGCCTCGCCAAAGGTCATCAGTGATAGTGTTCGAGAGGGCCAGAAAGAGACAATAGGGACTCTTAGCTTTGCGTGGACTGCAACGTGTGACATCCTTTTAAGGCACTGGCAGTGCCTTAAAAGGATGACACACGTAGCAGTCCACGTTGTTGTCGTGCAAATCTAAATGTCCCTAATATTGGTCACTCTCTTTGGCTGTTGCCCTTGTGGGCTGTGGCCAAAGCACATTTATAAGGACTACCTAACCCATTGCCTACCGGAACCTGGTGGTCCCTGTATAAAGCCTATGGGAATCCAAGAATTCAGTAGTCAACATGTTAATGCTCAAAGCCAGAAGGAAGATGGCTATGTGTTAAATTAAATAAGTTACACTGTACCTTCCTTCAGCCTCTCAGCAGACAAATTATAGTTGATTACAACTCCACAATCTACTCACATCACTTTCATCTGCAAAAGCTTTGGCTGCGGTTCCGCTTGGTTTCAGGATCTTCTTCTCTGGCTCCTTGGGTTTCTGGGTACAGAAAAGAAGAGGGTGATACAGAGAGAGAAGAAGGAAGAGAGAGAAAGGGGGAGAAACAGAGAGACAGAGAGACAGAGAGAGAGAGAGAGAGAGGGGGGGGAGAGGGGGAGAGAGAGAGAGAGAGGGGGAGGGAGAAACAGATGGAGAGAAAGAAAAAGAGAGAAAGAAAAAGAGAGAGAGACAAACAGTCAGAGGAGAGAGAGGGTGTAAGTTTATTCAAATGAATGAAAAATGTAATCTTTGGAAAGGTCTTAGATTTTAGCTGCAGTTATATGTACATTATTTTAGGACACAGTACATCCAATTTGAATACTATTTCATTGTTCCATTACACCTCCTATAGAAAGATGTGATTGCAATTAAGAAATAAAGTATTATCTATCAAAAATCTTCAAATAATTTTGTGGCAAAGTGACACAAAATACTATGAAAATAGGAACATTATCTGATTGAGTTCCTGTCTACCAGCCATTGATAGGCTCTCAAAATAGATGGTTGGTAAAGTTACTACTCAATGAATCATTTTTTTTTCCTACAGATTTTCTTCATTTCACTGAAGTACAGTCTCCATTATTAGAATGAGAGAAAAAAAAATATATATAATTTCATGTTAGATTTCATATAGTGGCTAGTTAAGGAGTAGGCCTACTTTTTAACATATACATATTTCTGGAAGGTAACTAAAATTTCTTCTCCCTTAACCCTCCTCTAATATTTTTTTTGGTGTGATATAATATCTGGTACAAAATCAACTTACCGATGCTCCAAGTTTGATGGAAACAGGGGCTATTCTAATTTTTGGCTTGATCAATGGCTTCGCGTTGAAGGTCTTGTTTTCTGTTGCAACTGCAGGAGACTTCTTGAGTCCGATGTTGAACGAGAGCTTGGACTTCTTTGTCCCGTCCACTCCTTCCTCGTCCGACGGCTTTCGCTTCAAGATGGCTTCCTTGTCGCTCATGGTGCAAGAGTTGTTCTACAAATTTGACGAGCAGATATTGGCTGTAGTGACGGGTGGGGCAACTGGAGGCAGAGGGGTAGATACAGGGGCGTGGCTCTGAGGGCAGTTCAACCAGTTTTCTAGAGTAGGAAGAAGGACTGGAACTCATGAATGACTTACGTTTTGATGGAAGTTAAAACAAAATCGTCTCTCGACTCACCAACCAATGCCCGGAGGATTGTACAGAATGGTTGTTTCATCATCATCACTGCATCTCGTCTCGTCTCTATGTAGGAACATTGCTTTTCTTCTTCTTCTCCTCCGAGACACCATAGCGATTGTTTTCATGGTGATGATGCTATCAAACTCACGTTTGATGGCCATGTTTACAGCTATGAATAAGGGAAGGAAAAAGAAGTGTGAGACATAGGTGGAACCTTGGAAAGAAAATGAAAATCACAAGAGTGAGAAATATAAGCGACAGACTCTGCTTAAATATAATTTTTGCGTCAATTTTTCTTGCAGCATTCAGCAAGCCCATAAAGAAAAGGGAAAATGCAACAACAAAAAAAGCATTTCTAATAAATTACCAAGAAGATTTAGGTACATTGTACTGTTGGTGTGATAGTGTGTCTACAATCTTTTTGAAACATTTTACCAGATGCAGGAATATATTCAGCTGATCGAGACTCCATCCGACTCCATCAGACCCTTTTGGGAGAGCAATTATATTTTTCTTCAGTTGTAGCAGATTGGATCTGACATTGCATTTTGAGATTAGGATATTGTCACAATACTGTTCTTCTTCTTCTTCTTCTTCAAGATAATCTGCCTCCTTCAATACTGAAGATTCTTGCAGATGCCGTATACTCGGCCTGATTGGGGTGTGCAGGTGGACCATTACACCGGGGTTTCCCCCTTCTCTTATACGAATAGTGCAATGGGTTTTCTAGTTGCACTCATTTGTAATCTTAATGTGTACGTTCATGGTATCAACCTGTTCGAAACGTCGAGCCACTCCCGCGACCCATCCTCTCCAATCGGCGCTATAGTTCTCCTTAGAACTATTAGCTAAGAAAGATAACCAACAGTCTTTTTCAAGACTACACCAACAGTCCTTTTCAGGACTACACACCCTCAAGAAAGATTATTGAGATTCCTTTTCAGGACTCCTCAATCCTCACTCTCTCTCACATGGTGCATCCGCAAGCCTACTGTATATGAGTAATCATGGATCAAATGTCACTTTGAAATTGTCACAGTCTTAATTTTTTTTTTTAATTTTCTCCCCATCATATTTCATGACGGTTTCGTGAAATGATGCCCAAGTTTGGAAACTAAGTTTGCTTAAGTTAACCATTCCTCAGTTTTAGATTTTTAAAGTGAACATATGGTAAACCTGTGACGGCAGAGAGGACAAAGAGGAAACTGTATGCAAGCTCAGCTCAACCCAACCAGGGAGATACATCTCCCTGACCCAACTTAATCAGGCTCATCAGCAATGGAAAGCACGGCAGACGATCAGAACCTCAACCAAGAAACTTGTATGGCGATAAAGTTTGACAGAGTCAGAGTCATCATTTAACAGGTAACAACTACTGTAACATTACCCATCATGCCCCGCACCATACAATGCCATATTACCGATCTTCTAGTTATCTTTGATGATTTACCAATTGTACATCTAGACTTTAACATTAGACTTATCTTTAGTTAACATTTTCGACCATTTACATTTTCAGACTCTACCACACAAAGTTACTGGTATTTTTAAGACGGGTCTAGATAAACACTGGCTTGCTAAACAATTTTAAGTAACCTGACATCCACTCATTCTGCACTATTTAAGTCGCAAACTGACAATTGAACTTATATCTTGGAAGACGACCGAGAGATCTACAGGACTATCTCATCTCTGCGCCCATATATCGATGATGATGACGAGACCAATTTTGAATTTGGCACAACTTGTGTTTCTGCGTGATTTTTGCCGGGATTCTTGATTGCCGTTTCTTTTAAAATCTTGTTTATTTGTTTAAAAAATTTAGAATGGACACCAAAGTTTATCCAGACCTGAGATAGATCTACTTTTATAAATAAACAAAAAGCTGAAATCATCCCCCCTGACCCAGTTTGATTCACATTTTCAACACACCATCATCACGAGTTACAGAGCGACATGGAATCATACGAGTGGGACTTCATATTTGTGTAATGCACTAAAAGTAATGGTGGCAGCTGGCCGATTTGGAGCGCAGTTGCAGTTGCAGCTGCTAGCTTCGATCAAAATCTGGCAACTATGTTTCTAACATCAACATGGAATAATGATAATATAACTGATTTTTATTTCGAATACATTGCACAAAAACTTAAATATTTACCTCAGTTTCGTATCTGTTTCTCAGTTCTGAAAATCTCACAAATTTTTTGTAAGGAAATGACACTGGATTTTGTTATCACCCGATATATTTGTTGATCGGGGGAGTGGGGCGGTCTTTTGAAAAATATTAATTCAGGAATCTACAGAAGGAATATAATACTCCTCTTCATGAGATCACAAATATTTTACCAATATTTATCTGACATAAGTCTGCTAAAAACGTGTACTCTCTCCTGATCCTCCATCTCCTCCAGTCTAAACACTCTCAATTACTCTCAACATCCCCCTTTCATTTTTACTATAACAAATTCTCTCTCTCTCTCTTCTCCCTATTATGTTTGTTTATCTTGAAACATAACCTTCTGTTATCATGGGGATTTCTACCTCATGTAGAACAGGTTGACAAAATGTCATTAAAGAATTAAACATACCAGTTGTTGCTGCACCTATCTATATTTTTCCTCTTTACTGTTCATGCTAGTCTTTGCCTCTATCTGTCTCTCCCCCTCTCTCTCTCTCTATACATATATATCTCTCTTTCTCTCCCCTCCCTACCCCCCCTCCCCTCTCTCTCTCTCTCTCTCTCTCTCTGCATTGTATTTTTTCGTCTTTTTTCTCTTTCTCTCTTGAGCTGCTCGGCAAACATTCTTTCTCTTATAGTCTAAAGCAGGGCTCCCACTTAGCCGAGCGAGTTGGAGCCTCGAGTTGTGGCGAGCTGCCACGATCTTATGGCAAGCAGTTTTATCATTAAAACGTATGTCTTGATATCAAGAATTCAATTCTTGATATAACGAAATCGAATTCCTGATATCACTAAATCGAATTCTTGATATCAAGAATTACCATTGCTTTACAACATAAAATTATTTCTTGATAACAAGAATTGATTTATTGATATCAAATACTGTAATAATAAAACGGCTTGCCATAAGATCGCGCCAGCTCGCCACAACTCGAGGTTCCAACCCGTCTAAGTGGGAGCCCTGCTTAAGGCATTTCCCTGTCTGGGCTCATGATGACTCAAATTTTACCTGCACGAATTGCTAAAAATTAAGGCTGGGGGGGGGGGGGGGGGGGGGGGGGGACTATCAAAGGATCACTTATTTGCTCATGTTCTTGGTCATCTAAATAGTAGAAAATTGTAACAAAGAGATATTTAGCTCTAGCAAACCATGAAAGAGCTCTCAATAATGAAAAAGACAGCTCTGGTAAAAGTCAATTTGAGGGACAAAGTTCAGTAATTCACTGCAAGAAAATCTCATTTTTAACATAACTATAAACCCCAAATATCAAATATGGAGTTAAAGCCCTTCTGGTTTTCAGCAGATGACATACAAAACAGATTATTTTGTCAACATACTCTCCCAAATACAGTACTATAAGTCAAAAAGTCAAAAAGTTTAATTTAGAAACCACATCACAGTCTATAAACTATTCCAGATATGATAAATTTTTCTTTATTGCATAAATTCACATGATTCAGACAATAACAACTGCATACATCATTGATCCACTCAACTAATACATGAACAAGGTTATTGGAAATAACCTTGTACTGGATTTTGCTCAGATTCATGTGTAGAACTAGCTTATATAGGTTTTGCTCGTATCAACCCCGATCTGTCCGGGATAGTTGAAACATGTGAGGAAAATAATTATTTAAAATTTAATTTTCAATTTTCTAGTTTAAATAGCAAATTATAAAGATAATGGAAACATGCTTCTACTGATTTTGGTGTGTATTTTGACCTAGTACAGCAGTGAATTTGCCACACAGTTTTGGTCCGAGTGACTCTTATACAAAAGTTTTGATTGATCTACTCTGCCGGAAAATGTGCTTTTCCCAGACAAGATTTCTCAAAGATAATTTTGAGCTTGCATATTGATGGTAAGTAATTCTCACATAATCGAGCAAAACTTAACCGATTGTAAACAAAAACTTTAAAAAAACTTGTCTTCCAAACACTGAAGTCAAGATGCCTTCATCATTTAATGTTGGCATCTTCCAGAATTTGTAAGACATTGGCCTCAATTTTCTTGGGGCCTTTGATAAAGAGCCTGTACACAGACTGTGTCCTTCAGGCCCTATTTGGACACTCAATCAAAGATGACGTCATTGTCTAATGTTAGCCTCTACCAGTTCTTGAAGACACTGATCTTCTGCTCTTGGGATTTTGTCAAAGAGTTCAAAGAGTTCAGACACTCAATTCAAGATGCTGTCAAACTTCACTGTTATAGCATCTTCCAGATCTTGAAGACATTGACCTTCAAGATTGACCTTCAAGATCCTTAGATTTCCTGACAACAAGGTTATACTTCTCATCACAAGTTTCTTCACAGACGGCGTCTTTCGACCAATGTTCAACGCTCAATTTAGGACTCGATCATAGTTTAATGTTTGCATCCTCCAATTCCTGTAACACATTGACCTTCAGTTTCTTGGCACTCTTGACCACCGGATTGTACCGCTCGTCATGGGGTCCTTCACAGACCGTGTCCTCCGGCCACTGTTCGGACACCCTGTTCAGGAGGCTTGGACGGATGATGTCAATGTCGCGACGGAAGTACTCCCTGAGAGGTTCGACGATGGTCGGCGGGCCATCAAAGTCAATCACAAAGTATCTGATGGAGGTGGGGAGGGATGGTTAGAGAGAGAGAAAGATGATGGTTGGGGGCAAGAAGAGATTATTAAACAGAATATAATTTTGCTGTATCCAGAAGCTCCATGTACACAATGTAGATCTTCCTTCATAACCAAGTCTTGGCTTTTTGATGGTTCAACTCAAAATGTAATTCTAATTACATTTTGATGTTTCAACTCAACAAATGTGTCATGTGTGAATTTTATACATCTATTACAAGACTTTTCTTATCACTTTAATTTAACCATATAAGCCTTTTGCATGCAATACATGTACATGTACATGCATATCCATGCAAGAAGTTAATGACAGTTCAGCCACTGTTTCAGCCACTGAGATGTTATCAATACAAACTTTTCTTATGTCCATGGCTCTGCCTTTGCTCTACACTACAGTAAATATTACTTTGATAAATCATTATAGTCTGTCTGGGTCTTTATGCTCTTAAAAAATTCTGGATCACTTGTTTGTCCCAAGCTGAATACTAAGTGGTGTAGAAAACCTTTGCTCATGTACTTACATGTATAGGGCGTTTGCTGTGAAATGCTCTCCCTCGAAAGATTCATAATAGCAGATCAGTTAAGTGTAAAATAATCATAAAATGTATCTGACTATCTATTTGCTTCCGCATACTAATTTCATTCGATTTCATTTTTATATATCTATCTCACCCCTGTTGTTCTTGTGTGTATAGTACAGATGCTTTTATGTGATTTCATCTTTTGCAAAAGTGCAGAAATTGCAGAATGATCATTTGATTTAAAGTGGATTTGATGCCTAACAAATCTTACATTGTTTTATTATTTGATTACAGGATCTACTTACTGTCCATGGCTAAAATTCTGCCGATGAGCTGTGAAACGGTAAGGTAGCTGCTTTTCACCCAGGTTTTCTATCTTCCTCACAATGCCTCCATTTTCCATCACTTCTGTGAGGGATCGCTTCAATGCATCCACCATTTCGGGCTGAAGAACAAAAAAAAAGGGAAATATCAAAGATTACATTCAATAGCGGCCCCAAGCCTTCAGGAATGACCCCCATATTTCCCACTCCAGCAAAGCATAGAGAGTCAATGCTAAAGCGTATTGACCTCTAGCACTGCATACATGCTGTGAGGCAGGGACCTAGAAGTCTATTATACAAATAACGCACGTCCCAGAGTGCAATAGCGGTGAATGCAGTACGCGCGAGGTTTCTTTAGATTGGTGCCGCTCTGAGCAACGAGCCGCTTGCGGCGAGTTGACAGTGCGAACCATCTGAAGAAACCGAGCGTTTACTGCATTTACGTTTTGCACAACAGGGTCAAGTGCGTTATTTGTTTTATAAAATAGCGACACAAATAGCAAAAACGAAACTTTAGATCTAATAAGTTAGAGTCTACGAGAGTTCGATCTAGATCTAGATCTAGAGTTATGTTGGTTCTAGATCTACTTCTAATTAGACTCTAGACTAAGACCTTGCAGGCTTACCAAAAAGTCAATGGGATTCATTGCCTTGATTAAAAATAAAATCCATACAGTGGGTCTAGAGACGAGTCTACATCAGACAGCTGAAATTCCTGGCTTCATTATAAAATCCAAAAGTCAAAACAGGCCTAAATCCAAGGCAAAAGTAAAATAAAAATTTGCTTTTTAATAATACCCCGCTGGCCGCTCTAGCTAGCTAGCTACGCGTACGTTGCGCTGGGGATCATGGTGGAGCGTACAATATTAGCTACGCGTAGCCTACAATAATTGCAATGCAACTCGAGGGAGCGCGTACTACACGTACGCGCGCGCACTGGATCTCCATGGTCACGCGTACGCACCGTGCAATATAACTTTTTACTGCGCTTTTTCTGCACTCATTTCTGCAAAATCGTGCTTGCATCAAATTTTTTTCAATGTCATGTGACGCGTATTGACCAATCACGATGCTTAAAATACTAGAGCCATTTTATAAACACAAATACACACACCACACAATATCGCATAGACTGTACACAATCATGTCGATGCAGCTGTAAGCAAAGTTTGACACTAGACTTACAATTTTAATTTTTAAATTATTCTTTTTAACATCAGTAAGTTAAAATAAATGTATTTTACTGCTATTTAGGTGTCATCAATTGTCACTAAAGTACCGATTTTGAGTGAAATCAGTTGAGTTTTGTACAGTGGTGTTTGAAATGTTGAGAATCAAAAGCACAGCTTTTACTACAAAGCCAGGATAGTGATGCTCCTATGTGTGATATTTCCTGATTACCATTCTGCCACTCTTTGGAGGGTACCGTCGGCTGCGGCCTTTTCAAAAGTGTTTTTACACTCCGGCTTAACATGAACAAGCATGCTTAGTATTTTTTTAATAAGCTGAATTCTGAAAATTATAAAACGGCCGCAATTTTTTACTGCGCTTTTTCTGCACTCATTTCTGCAAAATCGTGCTTGCATCAAATTTTTTTCAATGTCATGTGACGCGTATTGACCAATCACGATGCTTAAAATACTAGAGCCATTTTATAAACACAAATACACACACCACACAATATCGCATAGACTGTACACAATCATGTCGATGCAGCTGTAAGCAAAGTTTGACACTAGACTTACAATTTTAATTTTTAAATTATTCTTTTTAACATCAGTAAGTTAAAATAAATGTATTTTACTGCTATTTAGGTGTCATCAATTGTCACTAAAGTACCGATTTTGAGTGAAATCAGTTGAGTTTTGTACAGTGGTGTTTGAAATGTTGAGAATCAAAAGCACAGCTTTTACTACAAAGCCAGGATAGTGATGCTCCTATGTGTGATATTTCCTGATTACCATTCTGCCACTCTTTGGAGGGTACCGTCGGCTGCGGCCTTTTCAAAAGTGTTTTTACACTCCGGCTTAACATGAACAAGCATGCTTAGTATTTTTTTAATAAGCTGAATTCTGAAAATTATAAAACGGCCGCAATTTCACATGCCCATGTACCCATCCCCCCCCCCCCCCTCACAGTTTTTCCCTTATTCGTTGTTACTGTCACTTAGACTTAGTGCAATTCCTTTCCTTTTCTAACTCGGCTTCTCTCCTTTTTTTCCCCCTCTCTCTCTTTCTTTTCTCTCCTTTTTTCTGTTCTTTTGTTTCTCTTCTCCCTTTCTTTCTTTTCTCCTTTCTTTTTTCTCTTCTTTTCTTCCTCTTTTTTTTGCGCCGCCACTAGCACTAGGGGGGACACGGCCGTTTCGGCCCCCCTCCTGGATCTGCCGTTGTGTCATGATCATGGAGTTGGTTTCATGAGCTGGCTGGCCCTGGTTAGTCCCTTTGCCTGGCTCTTTCTCTTGCAGCATGCATGCAGCGAACTTGGCATGTCGCTCCCGACCCCCTCCCCACACGCCCGCGGGGGAGAAGCGCAGTCTGCACCCGCTGCACCACCAGCACGAATGAATCCAAATATCTACGAGAATTAATGAAATGTTACAAATCATAATTCTACATCAAATATATGCCTCCTTTTGCCTTTTACTCAACTTACCCTCCTCATGACCCTCATTATCAATGCTGCCTCGTATCCCGGCATTTTGCAGATGAAATCGAAGTTAATTTAGCTCGTGATCGTTTCTCTCACTGCATGCACTCAAATAAGCTCTACAAGTATGGAACGCTTATCGTAGACCCTAGGCCTAGTCAAAATAAGGAAAATTGTAGTTTCACATTAGAATAAAGGGGTTCGTTCCTAACTACATTTGATAATTCTCTAATTCAATAGATACATAAAAATCTATTTGAATTTCATGTATTTAGATAAGCGCAAAACAGCTAGTATTGATTGATTCTTTTTATTTAATTTTATAATATTGAGTGGTGCATCGTAGAAAATTATTTTTGTTTTATCACTTCCATTTTACACACGTGTGTGCGCCAATGCATTTGTGTACTACGGTATCTATACGTTTTAGGCTATACAGTCGAAGTCTGAAGTATACACAATATACAGCCACAGAAAATTGCCAGTGAAACGTTTATACTTCCAAAGGAAAATGCAAAATTCTTTGTTATCTGCCAGCCAGTTATCAAGATTGTAAGTTGGGGGAGTAGATGATTATTTTGTCTACGGATTTTCTTATCATATTTGAAGATTAAACCTTTTTATTTTGAGTTTTGTTGAACTTTGAGTTTGGCTTTGCATTGTATAATTTGTAATTGTTCTCAAGTTTGAGCATGTTGAGCTTGAATTTTGGCATGATAAAGGCATAAATGAAATCATGATGAAGGAATGATATTGCCAATTTGGGGGAGGGGTGGGTGGGAGAGGGGATCAGGGGGATTGTGATGGTAAGGGTATGAATGAGAGATGATGTTAATTATTAGAATGTTCTTTTTATAATTTTGGTCAAAATGGGTTAGGCATCCAATCAGTTTTCCATAAAGATATTCTGGCGTTTACATGAAATCGAACATCATCATTTGCACAGTAGTGCTTCATTAGCATCATTTCATTACTAGTAGGGATGCTAAGGACAATTGTCCAACCCATAAAAGTGACGGTGAACTTAGGGTATTTTATTACGTGGAATATGTTTTTCACATTAATTGCCAGCACGCGGATGAGAAACCTGCAGAGCGCCGAAGAAAATTAAAGACTACCAAAGGGTACGACTAGAAAAATTATTGTCAAAAGATTTCTGGCGATATCGCTAATATCTCTATCTATCAGTGTACTATTTTTTCAATTTTTTTGTTCCCTCCACACACCAGCTGCTTGAGGCTCAAGCAGGCAAGATGCGCTCGATGCATCCACACCGCTACCAGGAGATGGGCAGAGGATGATGGGAATGATGACCTGGGGTCAACGTCGGACAGCAGAGGGAAGAAGAAATCTGCCGTGGCAGCCAGTGACCTGCTTAATGCGCTTTCAGATCTCAGAGTAAGTGAGAACACACCCCTGCATCCAAGATATAGAGACTGATCTGGGGGGCGTTTCACAAAACTTGTCATCAGTGACAAATGACAGTTTTTGTTATAAGCTACTGAAATCCTTGCTTCTGATTGGTTGTCAACAGATTTGTCACTGATCTTCATCATTTGTCATTGAAAAAAAGCTTTGTGAAACGGGTCCCTGATCTTCATATTAAATTGACAGCCCTACCGGATCATAGATCAGACAAAATATGAAGCAAATGAAAGTTTGGAAATGAATTTATATTCTTAACTGGAGTGGAGACTGCAGATATGACTGCATTCTCCATCAGGCTGGGTAATAATTAAGGGAATAAAGATAAAAACGTTCTATTATTTGTCATTTAGTACATAATGAGACACAGTGACCTTGGACTTCCAGACCTGGCTTTCCATAGTCATGCAGTGAAGAGAAAAACTGTTTAATTTTAATAATGAAATAGTTTTTGCCATCTCGCTCATAAACATTAAATATTCAAATGCTATGCTATTTGGCATTGATCGCAATGATCTGTATAGGTCCAGACGACTGGGGATAAACAGACCTCTCTGAACAGGCGGAAAAAAGTCTCGGCTGCTGCCAACTTCCAGAGAATCGTAGCCAGGGCCGAGCAGAGGAGAGACGGTGCGGAAGGAGAGGGAGAGGGAGAGGGAGAAGGAGAAGTAGAGGCCAAAGGAATTGTAGCAGAGGAAGAGAAATTACCAGGGTAAGTGATCGGGTACCGTCACAATAGCGGGGAAAAACCAGAAAATTTGACTCCTTCACAGAGTTCTGTCAGAGTGCCACAAACCTCCCCAAAACCCAATAGCGAATATTTGCATGAAAATTTCCCTTACAGTACATAAGAAATTTGATTCTTTGACTTTGGTTCCTGTATGTTGTGCCAGTGTACATAGCTGCAACAGTCCTGAAAATGTACCAGTGAAACTTCTAATAAATATTCCTATTAAAATGTGGGAAATTTGATTCCTGCGAATTTTATTTCTGTAGGTTTACGCACTTCGGTTAGTTTTTCATTTTTTTGAGCATGTGTAGTAATGATGAAAAATTTGTGGTTAAACTAAATCACTCGTACCCTCACCAAGTTTTGTAATTAAGTTTGTGAAAAAACAATTCGTCCCGATTTATGTTTCTTGAGAATGTGACATATTAAAGCATATATCTAAAGTTTTCAACAAAGGGCCTTATTCAACCAGTCCACTATTCGTTCTTGAGTTACGAAAACACAAAAGACATCAAATTTACAAGTGATATGAATTATTTAGTTTTGAACTGTAGAGCCCTGTTCAGAAATGATGGAGTCTGTCATGCATTTGCTAGACATAACGTGGTGTAGTATCATTAACATTTTCATTCATAGAAGTGTCGTTGTCGAGTGGTTTAAGCACTTGGCTTGAAATTCAAAGGTCGCGGATTTGATCCCTGATATCCAATTCCCGGCACTTATGTCTTTTGGCAAGGCATTAATCTACATTTGCTACTGCTTACCCAGGAGAGAAATATAGGGACATGGTGGGATGACAAAAAGCCTTGTGTTAGTAATTGCCATATGCCCTCACGGTGACCATATGGTAGCAATGCTCCCCAGGGAGTAGAGATGGTGCATATTGTGTGTGGATGAATCCGATGACGGGGATGACACTATATGTAAAGCACTTAGAGACGGTATTTCGTATTAAGCGCTATGTATATCCAGAGTATTAATTTGTTATTATTATTCATAAATATTTGTATTGTTTTATATCTCAGACTCGAAGAAATCCAAGAAATGACGATGGAGGCAGCCAAGAAGGTGGCCGAGGTCTACCCAGAGAGGGAGCTAGTCGAGTCGGACCTATTGAAAGAGCTTCGGAGACACGACGAGGCGACGGCCGCAGGAGAGAGGGGTGAACCTGAAGGAATCGAGTAAGATAAACAGGGTTGTCAACCCTAACACTAAACATAAATCCCCTGCAGTTCTAACCCTAACTCATTTATTTATTCAACCAGTATAAAAAACTCGCGTTCTTTGATAAAGTAAGCCTTGAACAAAAAGCTGAAGACCAAATACAATAATGTTTAATGTTTATAGTATTTTTGGCTCTGTACTACTGTAATGTTATTTGAGAAAGACGTAGAAGTCTGGTCAAGAGGAATAATGGTTGGTTCTCAACAGAGGGGTGTTTCACAAAGATCCTAAGTCAAACTTAACTCTAAGTTGGACTTAAACATTATGGAGAGCCATTTGTAGCCTTGAAATGAAATATATCAACAAGCAAAATTTCAAATATTTTAGAATTTTCATAAATTCCACATTAAGCACATGAAATCTCCTTGATAATCAAAACTATGTATGATTTGCAACAGCATTCTATGACTTTTAAAATAACTTTTACAAAATGTTTTCAAAGATGATGACAGCTTTCCATAATTGCTAAGTCCAACTTAAACTTAAGTTCGACTTAGAATCTTTGTGATACACCCTCCAGGTGCTATATACTGGAAATATGTGTCATGTAGTACCAAGTAAATCTTATGTACAGTATGCAAACTCTGTCTATAAAGGCCACCAGAAGGAAACAAAAAGTGACCACTGAGGATGGGGTGGTAACAGAAATGTGAGTATGTGTAGGACCATTGTTGTATGCAGCTCTTTTTTTCATCACAATTTGTCACTCATAATAGTAAATTTAAAAAAATGTGGTGGCTTAGTGCGCCATATTGAACAAGCTTTATGCTTCAACTACTGGTATTTTATTTGATTTGATTTGATTTATTGTAAAAATGTTTTCCCTATCAGTTCGGTCCTGTCAGGAATCCGGGTACAGCGACAGACCAGCCTGGAGAAACGACAGGAGGGCCGGGATGTGATGTCGTCCAAGGGTGGTCAGCAAGGAATAGCCGACCAGTTTGACCCGAACTACTCATCAGATGGCTCGATGCGGCCAGAGTTTGATGACAACATGGACAGGAGAAGGATGGGTCGAGGTGAACCCTACCAGAGACAACGCAAGTAGGTCACTTTTTAGTGTCATAGACCAGCAGCAAGGTGTTTCACAAAGATCCTAAAGTTGAACTTATCTCTAAGTTGGACTTAACAATTATAGGAAGCCCTTAGCATCTATGAAAATATTTTGTAAAAGTTATTTTAAAAGGCATAAAATGTTGATTCAAATCATTCATCATATCTTTTATAAAGGAGATTTCATGTTCTTGATGTGGAATTTATAAAAAAGTCTAAAATACTTAAATTTTAGCTTTTGAATATATTTTATTTTAAGGCTACAAATGGCTCTCCATAATATTTAAGTCCAAGTTAGAGTTAAGTTCAACTTGGGATCTTTGTGAAACACCCCCCTGTGTTACAATGAGAAAATGGATTGTTTTGGGCCTAATCCAGGCTGGCCGGAGCTAGGTATTAGTGGAAAAAATGAGTCTTGAGGCCAATCCGTAGCCCTACCTATTTAACCTTCCCTGAAGTTATTCTGGTTATGACGGAAAATAGGATCACTTTTTAGTGTCGTAGACCTGTGTTACAATGAGAAAATGGATTGCTTGGTCCTGATCTAGGCTGGCCGGAGCTAAGGGTTGGTGGGGAAAATGAGTCTGAGGACAATCCGTAGCCCCATTTGACCTTCCCTGAAGTTATTCTGGTTATGACAGAAAATAAAGGTCACAGAGACTTTTTCATTAGGTCAGATGATCTGTGACCCATCTAGCCTGACTCCATCCCAATTCTTGAACTTCCTCTTCCTCTTTTACTATCCATCTTCCCGTCAAGGAAGAAAATGTCCCTGAGCACTTTACCCCCACCCCATGAGATGTGCCCTAACCGATTTTCCATCCATCTCCAGATTGTAGACAAATTTTGTCATAACCAATTGTAAAGAAAAAAATAACAGATAGATATGCCCAAGTCTTGTATGATCAACAATATACTCCAGCTGTTTAAGGGTTAAGGCATGTATTATGAGGCAGGTATTTTTTTCAACCTGACTTTTTTCATCCTATAAGTTTCCAGACGTTCCTAACCCTTGACATATACATCAACATATCAAAGACATCTTAGAGAGTAATTTTGTGTTATACCATGTGGATAGTCCTTAAAGAGAGATTGAGTTCTGGGAAGAGGTGAAAAATAATTTGTGAGCGTTATCATTCCTATTATGCAAGTGTGGAAGAACATCAGATAAGACATGTTCCCTAAAAAGCATGGCTTTTCAAATGCCTTCATATTCTAAATATGTCATGTAACATCGTAAAACTTGGGGGTAGGATTTTTACGCTACGTGTTCTGTGTACAGTGCTTGTAACTTTACCAAGACTTGGCCAGATTTCTTATCATTTTGATGATTCCAGAACCTTGCAATACACACAAATTCTTATATGCTAGATGATCAACCTTTTCTGGTCGATTCCACACCGTTTCTTTCACAATGCAATCGCATGACCAGAACTCAACTTCATCTTTAAAAGGACCGTTTATTCTTTCATGTTGATTAAAAGAAGTCTTGAAAAGGACTGAGAATCAATAGAGATTCAATGTTTCGGACAGGTTAACGGTCTGTTGTCAAGAGTGAACTGAAAGTTTCTTCTGGCTTTCATAGAGAACGTATAGCAGTTTCAACTAATTCCTTACTTTACTAAACTATTGTTCAGGTTTCATGAACACCCCAACTGATTTGATGAGATCTTTATAGGCACCATCATAATCTGTTACTTATAGTTATCGGTTCTGAAACAGTAATTTCGATCAGACTCTCCAGTTCTTGACCCATTATATTTGTATGGGAACCGGAATTGCCTTTGCCAAATATACCTGTGGCTGGTGCTGCCATCTATGGCCAAATACTGTAGTTGCGGTAGTGAAATTGGTTTCCGAGACCACTGCTCTACCACTGAGCCATTATGTCTCCTCAACTTTTAATTTTCTGTCACTTTCTTTCTTTCTCTTCAGGAGGACCCTGTTTGACCGTCAGCGTCTGAATATTTTTAGTCCAGCCACTGAAACAGATGGTAAGTTCAAAATATCACCCACGCAGCTGGTACAATAGTGGAATAGTCTTAAAGGCATCGTTTAACAATGTTAAATCTGAGATGCACGGCCCCACATGTTATCAGCGTCTGTGATGTGGTGTAATATTGAAGCCCTAAAAAAAAAATCGCGTTTCAAAATGATCAAGAAGTGCCTAAAAAAATTAAAATCTTTGAGTGACCGGTTCTACCATACTTGTTTTCCCCAATAGACTGAGGTGTTATGAAAACCGTGTGACAAATGGAAAATTTGGTTTCGATTTCCAATCATAAATATCTTGATAATCAGACAGGCGATCGGCTTGTAAAAGTCGTGAAGTTCCTGACTGACCTACCGGTAAAGGTTTATAATTATCATTGCAGTATGAGCTAAATCCAGGATTTTGTTTCAGAATCTGAGACAAAGTTACCCAATCCCTTCAAAGTGACTTGGTAACATTGTTGAAGGTTGATGAAAAAATTGCTTAATTTTTGTATAAAATGTTACTTACTATATTCCTTCTACTGTACTAACCCTCTGACATGCAAAAAATCCTGAAAAAATTCTCAAACCACAAAGATATCTATGGTTTTCTTTGAAGGCGTCGATGTACGACACCCTCTAACAGTGATTAACAGTAAATTTTCCCAACCGTTTTTCCATGAAAAAAGACATAAAACAGGCTATAAAAAATCTGTCAACACTTAAATGTCTGGAATGGAATGTAGAGCCATTTTATTGCTTTGTGACGATTTCCATTCACCTAAAATGTAATTAAATTGTACTAATATAGTTGGGAGAATTAAGGAATCGATCAGATCAGTTTTTCTCAATTTGTACCATGAATAATGGTCCGTTTTCACTCAAATTTTCAGATTATCTTTAATTGTATATCTATCATTGAAGTCATTACCTTAGCACCACTATCTCTCATCTGAACAATGTTACCAAGTCCCTTTCAGGCCCTGATTATAAATCTATACACTCCTTATCATTCCCAGTCTCGGAGGTGAAGGAGGAGGGGACGTCCATCTGGGAGCGAGAGCTTGACAAGCAGTTGAGGGAGCTATCCTACTCAACGATGCACAATGGTTTCGAGGAAGCCATGAAACTAACGGAAGAAGGCAAGATCTGGAAGTACCCCATCGATAACGAGCAGGGTAATTAACAATTTCTTTACATAAGACACAGGAATTTTAATGTGAGGGACTACAAGATCCTGATACCCCAATTGTCTAAAGTCTTATTAGAAATTTCTCAGTGGGAGAAATTTTGTGATAATTTCCCAAATCCACAAAAAGAGGAAATATTGTATGATTTCATAGTTTTTTAAAGTCCTTTTGACATCAAATTTATTAAAAGTTTGGCATACTGCAACAGAGGCACCTAAGCTTTTATCACTTTATATCAGCCAGACCTGAAATGGTGAATTTATAGATTTTGTCTACCAAACAAAGTAAAAATGATATTTTTCTATTGTCTTCATGAATCGGTTATCATTTCCCATATTCAAAGGTGACTGTCATCTCTTATATTTGAATATTGAACAGATATATCACCTCTATATTTTCTTTGTTCAGTTATAAATTTCAATGTATGTCATAAGATAAAATTGATAACGTTCCCGGTAAGTGTTTTTAGAATGAATTATTGGTTGCGGTCTCGTTCCTTGTGTAATTTTTGAGCTGTATGCAAAATTTTGCTACAATCAGTTGTCTGATGGCTCAGATCTTCAGGGGACCATAATGCCCTCTCTCCTAACTTTGAAGAGAAGTTTGAGTTCTGGGAAGAGGTAAAAAATAATTTGTGAGTGTTATCATTGTACCGGTATTATGCAAGTGTGAAAGCCTTCAGATAAAATGTTCCCTGAAAAGCATGGCTCTTCAAATGCCTTGATATGGCATGTAACATCATTCAGTTCAGTCCCATATACATTTGTCTGTGTACAGTACTTGTAACTTTACCGAGACTGGGCCAAATTTCTTATTATTTTCATGATGGCAGAACCTTGCAGTACAATACTTATATGCTAGATGATCAACCTTTTATGATCGATTCCACACCGTTTCTTTCACAATGCAATCGCATTACCAGAACTCAACTTCATCTTTAAACATTTATGGAGAGCCATTTGTAGCCTTAAAATAGAATATATTCAAAAGCAAATATTCAAGTATTTTAGACTTTTCATAAATTCCACAATAAAAACATGAAATCTCCTTGATAAAAGAAAATATGAATGATTTGAATTGACATTTTATGCCTTTTAATTTCACTTTTACAAAATATTTTTAAAGATGCTAACGGCTTTCAATATTTGTTAAGTCCAACTTAGAGATAAGTTCAACTTTGGATCTTTGTGAAACCACCCCCATGTTTGCTTTCTTTTATGGAGCAGGGATGGAGAAGGAGAGGAAGGTGGCCTTCCACGAGCACATCTTCCTAGACCATCTCCTGGAAGACTTTCCTCGGCGAGCCCAGGTCCTGGACTTCATGGAACTGGTCCTAATCGGTCTCTCCAAGAACCCGTTCCTCACCGTGGCCCAGAAGCACGACCACGTCGCCTGGTTCCGAGACTACTTCTGGCAGAAGGAGGAGATCTTCCTGAAGCTGGAGAAAGAGGAGAAAGTCAGCGTCGGTTAAATCCCAGTAACTTAGAGATGGAGGGGTCAGTGACACAAAGACTCCATTTTGGCCATTTTGAGAAAAAGTGTTTCATGTGTCACTGAGCACTTGGACCTTAAGGAGTTAAATCTATGTTTCACTAGCCATTAACTTCAATGGGGCGTTGGGTGGAGTTAAGTCTTTGTGTTTCCTGGAAAGCCTACATTGTTCTGAACATTTTGATATCAAATACTCATTTTGGCAAAATATGGAGTTACGTCTTTGTGTCACTGAACCCTCGAGATATTCAATCAAATTGATGACCACTTGTATAGAAAGACCACCTATTTACAGAGACACCATTTTTCCTGTCCCTTATACAGTGTATCTCATCCACACACGCATCAAAGGAGTCTCTAGGTGATGACCACCTGCTTGTAAAGACCACTTTTCTTGTCTCCCTTGAGTGGTCTTTGTATACAGGATGTGCTGTGGTTGTGCCACGGCACATGGATATGTACAAGGGCAAAGGTAGGGCAGATCTGTTTATTTCTGTTAAAGACCCTGTCGGAAGTGAAAAATGAAAAGGTGAATTATATATCAAGGGAAAGTTTAAAAGCCATAGATTACAATGATATTAATTACCTTTGCATATGCTATTCAAGTGTCTGTCAGAGGAGTAAGAGCTCCCTGAAAACTAGAAATCTGAAGCTTGGAAATTTGAAAATTGTTGAAAAAACTAACCATCGACTTGATGACATCATCAGATTAGAATATACTTTTTTTGGTGGACAGTTGCTAAAATCGATTATTGATTTACCAATAGAAGCCATTGGACATTTTCAGATTCTGGATATTATCCAGAAACTGAAAATTGCGTCTTCACCAGACCAATACTCTTGTCACGGATGGGCGCAAATTAACACGCTATTTCCCGAATATTGGGATATTTTGGAAACAAGACCAAGATTTCTTGGGATATTTTCTCGACCAAAATCCCGCTAATTGTAACTGCAGGCTGATGAAGACGCAAGTTAAGTGGATAATTTGCGTTCGGGATAGTTAAAAATAGCGGGTTATTTGGCAAACTCGGGCTGATGAAGACAGGCCTTGTGTGAACATATCTTGAGATTTTTCCATGATCAACATGAAGAGCTTGGTTGCCCTCCATGCAATCCTGAGTGATGTTGCTTGATGATTAAATGAAACTTGTCTTTTCAGAATATTTGGTCCAAAGTTTTGTTTGCATTTGTTCCAATTCATGTGTGTTCGAAGCGATATTGTTTTTTATAACGGTGACAAATCAAGATTATTCATAAACTAATTTTTTGTTCACTCAACCATAGATTAAGTTAGCATAACATTAAATCATATCGATGGATGGAAAAATTGCAAGACTAAACAAACAGAGTTCATGTAATATGACTTGAACGACAGAACAACAAAATGATTAAAGCAGCCATTTTATATCCTAAAGGGAAGTCTGCTTGCAACTTCTCTGAAAGCCTTGGAATAAAGAAGGAAATGCAACCCTTCAAAGTAAGTCTGAAGTTTAAAAAAATCATTCATCATAATCTTTATGGTAACATCCCGGTGACAGTCAACCAGACGGACAATACTCATCTAATGAGTTCATGTAAAATGACTAGTACGACAGAACAACAAAAAGATTAAAGCAGCCATTTTTATCCTAAAGGGAAGTGAATTCTGCTTGCAACTTCTGAGAAAGCCTTGGAATTAAGAAGGGGAAATGCAACCATTCAAAGAAAGTCTTGGTTAATAATTAATCGTAAACACGTAATTATGACAGTCCAGTGACAGTCAAGAAGATGGAAAATATTGATTTGCTGAATTCTCAGAAAAGCTGTCGGAAGCCACATAAGATACGACGTGTGGGCTGTAGGATGTGATACACATGGACATCTTGGGCTGTAGCCATAATGACCACACCCAACATGATTGCAGAGACTCGCAAGATATAAGTCTAACACGGTTCGAATAGGCCACCCATCACCTTTCGAACATTATGAGGAGAAGGAGCGCGATGGCCCAGTGGTAGAGCAGTGGTCTAGTAACCGGGAGGTCCCGGGTTCGAAACCTTGGAGAGGACTTAAAGGTATTACAAAGTTTTGGGAAATTTGAAAAATGGGTGGATAGTGATTTTTTACAATTTTGATATATTGGGATGCATCTGTGGATGTATTAAAAGCACTAGAAATGTTAGCCCCTAAAACACTTCTGCTTTCGAGAAAAATGGAATATAAAGATTTACCGGTGCTCCCGGTAAATTTTGATAAATTTCAAATAGCTCCTACGGCCGTACAATGGTAGCTGCGACCATGAAAATCTCAGAATATGTAGTTGTGGTATATAATTTCCGAACGGGAATAGCTAATCGGTCGATTTCAGTCAAGAAACATTGTTTCATAGCTTAATTAATATATTGACCTTGAGAGGGAGCTATACACCATGAAGTGTTTATTATTTACAATTTCATAACTTTAGAGTCGATTTCGACCGCGACAACGATTAGCCAATATTGTAGGATTGCATATGCTTCCAATATGTTCACTTGAACCAAATTCACGACCCCATACCAAAACTTTGTATTACCTTTAAGCCGTCAATCCCCTGGTTGCTTACTTACAAGGAAACACATGCCTTCGCAGCAGTCGGTTAAAACAAATCATCAAGGTAGACCAAAGTGACGTATCACGTAATATGCATTCATGGTTTCTAAGTGGCAAGAGAGGGTGAGAGAGAAAGGGAGAGGAGGAGGAGGAGGAGGGCATAGACAGACAGAGAGAGAGAGAGAGAGAGAGAGAGAGGGGGAGAGAGAGAAGAAGAGACAGACAGACAAAGAGAGACACAAAATGAGACAGAAAGAAGAAAAGGGATGAGAAAGGAAAGGAGAGGTGAGGGACGTGCAAAGAATACATGAATAAAGAGAAACAGAGAGAGAATGGAGGGGGAGGGGGTATACGGGAGGGGTAGGCAGAGAAGTAAATAAAGAGGGATTAAAAGGGCAAACAAATGGTATACATGTACATCTATCAAATGATCTGAAATTGTATTAGCGAGAGAGAAAAAAGGAGAGAATGTTTCAGAAAAGACCTGATAATCTAAGAGCAATAAACGGAGGCAACAGCAGATTTTTTTTTTTTTTTGGGGGGGGGATGTTTATTTTTATTAACCAATATCAAGAGCCGGGTCTGTTACAGACATCGGCGGCCATGGCTCTCCATTTCTGTCTATTATATGGTATTCTTCAAAAGATGGTACAGTATCGCTAATTTCATTTTGGTCGCCCATTTGTTCAAGCTTTGCAAATATGTGAGGCTGCCTTCTGCTTCTATTTCCAGCGATCTCCCCTGTTAATATTGTTTTTGTATATCATCCTTTCTGTAATATGCGACCAAAAATATAATTTCATTTTTTTTTTTTTTTACAACTTATTATTACTATCTTGCTTTTATTACAAAAGTATAGGGTTTACTTAGTCGTTTCAGTTTTATTTCAACAGGGTAGCCTCCTCAGTGTAATAAACAAAATACACATCAGTCACAGACAATCCTAATGTACATCATGATGAAATATATTTACAACAAATTAAAACATGAAAAAGGGGGATAGGGTTAGGGTTGTGATTGGGGTTTAGAGCTAGAGTCAGAGTTAGGTACAGTGTTGGATAAAGGGTTGAAGCTAGTAATTTGGTTAGTGAACGAAATTACTAGGGAGGAATACATCAGGATCAGGCGTTTTACAACGTCTTACCGAATGTGCAAGTCAGTGAATGGCTCTAATGTGCATTTTTGGAGGGGAAGGGTGACCCCTCGGACAAATTTGGTAGAAGGGAAAATTAAAAATTCCAAAGAAACGGTTCGTCAAAACTCGATTATGGTAAAATAAGTTTTCCGAGAATATAACGGAAACAATGTTTTGAAAAAGTCTTAAAAACCTTTTTTTCTCTTTCTCTCTTGCTATCTCTCTCTCTCTCTCTCTCTCTCTCTGGCCATATATCTATTTATCAACATATATATATATATCCTTTCTACCCCTCCCCTTCTCTCTCTCTCTCTCTCTCTCTATCTCTCCCCCCTCTCTCTCAACCCCCCCCCCCCCCCCTCTTTCTCCACCTTAAATGTGCATTTCCCATCAATCTCTCTGTCTACATTTATCAAATAAAATGATAGCACAATCATATAACGTTAGCATAGGAAAATCATTTGCCACCCTTGGATGACAAATCATAAAACCACAATGAATGAAATGTTACCGCAAAACGCAAAGTGTCTCCTTGAACGTTTGTGACCGTAGTTCAGTGTGTGTTCTTATGAGGGCATTTGAAGGGTAAATATCTTCCAAAATGTTAGGCCGAATGAAACTTGTTTCTCGTTTCTCGTCTCCTTCTGGTTTTGGCTAGCATTTTTCATTTCATTTTAATCTATTCTTTGTTTTGGGTTTTTTTTTTTTTAATTTTGTTATGTATTTTTTATTTTATAAAATATTGAAGTAGGACCTAATCTGAGGAATCTATAAAGAATGCGGTCACAAAAAATTAATGCGATTTCATCTACATCTAGGCCTCTTTTAAGATCTGTGGTGAATATACAAATTGAATCAAAGTCACAGACTTTCGAAAAATCATTTCAAGTGCAATTTCAATTGGTCTACCCTAGTGTATTTCTCATAGAAATCATGTTTTGGTTTACGCAGTACGTCAATGTAATGTTCGCGCATCGTCGAGTTTTTGCAATTGCCTTGCAAAGTGAAAACAATGGAGTGGAAAAAATACGGACCTCCCCTAATTTTTTTAAATGAAGCTGGACGAGAAACGAGGAGTCAATTTTACTTAGCCTAATACCACATCAAGATCATATAAAATTGATAGGCTGGGCAGATCGACTGAAAGGTGGAAAAAATCGTTTGAAATTGGCATGTTGACGAGCAGTGATAACTGAAGTGAATATTTTGATCATTGTTGGGTAAACATTATAAACGATGATGATGGTGATAATGATGTGTTACTTTCTGGCAGTCATTTTCAAAGGGGTAGCGTAGGACCAAGCATTGAGGGGGCGGCACGGACATTATTGCAAGAGGGGCGACACTCTCCTTATGATACTCGGCGGATCAATGCAAATTATTAACTTTATTGAT